GGGAGCTTATTGGGACCTTGAGAAGTTTTTTGATACTGTGGACCCTTGTCGCCTTGCTGGACTCGCCGTGAAAATGAGGTGCCCCCTGTTCCTCCTGTAGTTGGGGATTGTGTTGCATGAAGCTCCTCGTATCCTCGAGGTCCAGGGGTTCTGTTCTGACCTCATTCCCACTGGAATGGGCATCTTGCCTGGCTGTGGCCAATCCATGCCGTGGATTAAGATTTACTTGCATGATGTACTGGATCAGGCGCACGCCTCCTTCTTGCCTGTCCGCGTCCAGGGATACGTTGACGATGTCACTCAGACGCGGCAGGGCTCCCGCGAGGAGGTCCTCGCCGCGTTCGTGCCTGCCGCGTTGCACTTGCGCCAAGAGCTGGAGGCTGCTGGCACTGTCATTGCATATAAAAGCACGCTTTTGGTCCCCCACACAGAGCTCGGAGCCGAGATCATGCAGATGTTCGCCCCAGTCAACCTTCCAATTCAGTGGAGAGACGCGGCCCGAGATCTGGGGGCCATGTCTTCTGCAGGTCTCTGCCGAAATATGAGCAAGTTGCGACAGCGGCGTGCTACCGCCTATCGCAAGAGCAAGAAGGCGCGCTTTCTTCCTCGGCTTGTCGGCCGAGCGAGCAAGCTGTACAAACCGGGGGCCCTGGCCGCGGGGTCGCGGGGCCATGAGGTCTTGGGGCTTTCTCCTGGGCAGGTTAAGTCCACGCGTGCTCAGGCCGCCACGTGCTCTGGGTCGTGGACCCCAGGGGCTTGCACCACTGCCTTGCTAGGCGTATTGGGGGCTGCGAAGGATGACCCCCAGTTTAGGCTTCGCTATGAGCAGCTCAGCGTTTGGGCTTTGTCTTGGGCTGATCTTGATCATAAATCTCGCAGGTTGTGCGCTGTTGTTTGGATGAAGGTATCTACCAAGATGGATCAGACCAAGTATCGCTGGCAGATAGTTCGAGGGCCGATGGCGGCCACTACAGCTGTGCTCCGCGACCTTGGCTGGCAGGCTGAGTCACCAGTGCACTGGCGCACTGATGATTCGGTTTTAAGGTTGAATGATGGCGATTTCCGTTTCCAGCTTTGGGGGGGCCCTGTTTGAGAACGTGTTCTGCCGCGTCCTGGGGCCAAGCCTCGAAACATTTCTGTGGCGCGGGCCTGGAGAGAGGAGTCGATGTTACCCCAGTGCGTCGATGTTTGGCCAAGCCTGCTCGAGACGGCGAGCACGAGTCAGTGGGCATACTGCGCAACGTGCTCATTGCCGCGTTTTGGCCTGAAGAGCGATTGCGCGCTGCTGGGTACGCTTCTGCTAGAAATGGGCTCTGTGGGAAGCGCGGAGAGGCTCCTGAGTCCCCGCTGCATCGGCACTGGCAGCGCGCGTGCAATCGTGATATCCCTGACCACACGATTGAAAATACCGACTCCCTGGCTCCCAGGGCCATCGCTGAAAACGACAGGCTGAGTTTTTGGTGTCGAGGGCTCCCGTCGTTGGGCGATTCCTTAGGGCACCTTCCCCCTCCTCAGCGTTTGGCTTGGGATCGGGGTCGGTGCGCTGAGGGGGAGCCCATACGTGAGGGCGTTTGGGGTGTCGATGGGTCTGGAGGCAAGTATTCGAAGGGTTGGAGGTTACGGCGATGTGGATGGTCCTTCGTGCACCTCGATCCCGATGGCAGGATAGACGCGGCTCGCTGCGGATCTTTGCCGCGCGCGCGTCAGTCTTCCCCGAGGGCCGTGCTCTATGCTTTGGTCGAGCTGATGCGAGCTAATGTCGGAGACGTTCGAGTTCATTGCGACTGCCGGTTAGTCGTGAAGGGTGCGAGGAAAAGCTTACGGGCTAAAAGGAAACCTAGCATGCTGGACCTATGGGCTGAATGTCACCGTGTGCTTTCCGAACGAAAGGGTTCGCCCCGACTGATCTGGACCAAAGGACACCCCACCCAAGCCCAGGCCGAAAACATGTGTTTGTCTGATGTAGAAGTGTATTTAAACAAAGCGGCTGACAGCATTGCCGATTGGGCTGCAAAGAAGGCCCAGTTGAGCGAGAACCATGTTTCTCATATAGTGCGAGCTGATGAGCTCGCCGTTCAGGTTTAAAAAAGGACCCTGGCCGTCCAGCGTGAAATGTTGTTCTCCTCAGAACGTGAGAGGGGTGGGCTCCGCGAGCCGCGGCGAACTCGCGGGGTAGTCTCCTCTCTGTCCGAACGAGTTTGTAGGTTGAGAGATGCTGGCCACGATCCCTCTGTGCATAAGGCATGCATCAAGTGCAGGCAGTGTGGGCTGAGCTATGGCCTGAAAGGCCAGCTTGCGAGCTCCTGGCCCGCGCCGTGTAAGCCCCCTTGTATCATCCAGCAGCGCGTTCAGCTGCTTGCGCCGCGGGAGGTGAGGGGTGACTCTGGCGCTGACCCCGCCCCTGATTTCTTGGGGCCGTCGGACTTGTGTGGGGGTGCCCTGGATCACCCGCTGGCCGACCGTTGTCACCCCTCCCACCGACTTGCGGTGCAGCGTGGGGTTCTGTTCTGCACGGTCTGTGGAGGAGTTTGCACTGTTGCTCCTCCCCGCATCCTGAAAGGAGAGTGCGGAGACCCCGCGCGAGGGCCATGCCCCTCGAAGGCGGGGCGCGAGGTGCTGTCGCGCCTGTCCAGAGGGCTGCCACCAAAGTCGGGCACCACGTTCCCTGATCGGGCATGAATGTGAATGTGCGGCCTGCCTAGAGCAGGACCCCCGCCGTAGATAGAATTAGAATTAGAATTACTCCTCCTCCTCCTCCTCCTCCTCCTCCTGCTCCGCCTCCTCCTCGTCCTCCTCATCCTCCTCTTCCTCTTTATCCTCCTCCTACTCCTCCTCCTCATGCTCCTCTTCCTCCTCCTCCTCTGCATCCTCCTCCTCTTCCGTTCCGTCTCCTTATAACTAATGCTTGCCTGTCGCACCCCGAGGCGACGTTTGTAGGGCGGGCCGAGCGTTTCCCCTGAAACTTGCTTACCAGTTCTGAATCTGAAGCTAGAATATCAGCAACGCAAGAGCTTCACAGGTGGAGGGCGGGTGGTTTGCAAAGTGTGGCTCTCGCCTTCGCGCGGCGCACATTCGTCTTGAACACTTGCAAGAGCTTCACGGATTGAGGGCGGGTCGTTTTCAAAATGTGGCTCTCGCCTGAGAGCGGCGCACATTCATTGTAAAATTGTGCAAAAGCTTCGCGGATTGAGGGCGGCTCATTCTCAATATGTGGCTTTCGCCTCAGTGCGGCGCACATTCTGTTTACACATGCGCAGAAGCTTCACAGATTGAGGGCGGGCTATGTTCAAAATGTGGCTCTCGCCTCAGTGTGGCGCACATTCGTTTTAAACATTTGCAAGAGCTTCACGGATTGAGGGCGGGTCGTTTGCAAAATGTGTCTCTCGACTGAAAGCGGCGCACACTCGCTGTAAAAATGTGCAAAAGCTTCACGGATTGAGGGCGGCTCCTTCTCAAAATGTGACTCTCGCCTTAGCGCCGCGATCATTCGTTTACGCAATTTACAAGAGTCTCAGGGGTCCCATCATCAACGTACCAGAATAATGTGTTTTTCCCCAGCGCAGTTGATTCAGGATTACGCGGGCGCAGCAGTTACGTTGATTCGCGGTGTTGAAGTCCCAGGAGTGGCTTTCTGGCACGATTCAAGACCGTCAACACGCAACAATCAGGTTGATCCGTGACGTTGGAATCCCGAAAACAATGTTATGGCATGCTTCAGGGTCTTCAAACGGTTGTCTTACAACGAGACTTCCCCCAATGGAAATGAACCGTTGTAGGGGCCTGTGAAGAACGAGCTTGGAGGGCGGGTTTATTCCAGCATCGTTGATGACCTCCTCCTCCTCCTCCTCCTCCTCCTCCTCCTCCTCCTCCTCCTCCTCCTCCTCCTCCTCCTCCTCCTCCTCCTCCTCCTCCCTCCTCCTGCTGCTCCAACTCCTCCTCCTCCTCCTCCTCCTCCTCCTCCTTCATTCCTCCTCCTTCTAAACAACTTCTCCCTGTCGCACCCTGGGCCATATTTTTAGGGCGGGCCGGGCGTTTCGCCTGAGACTTCCTCACCCTTAATGACCCTGGAGTTTAAAAAGTTACAGCAGCTTCACGGATTGAGGGCGGGTCGCTTTCAAAATGTGGCTCTCGCCTTAGCGCCGCGCACATTCGTTTTCAAACTTTGCGAGAGTTTCACAAATTGAGGCCGGGTCATTTTCAAAATGTGGTTCTCGCCTGAGCGCCGCGTACATTCGAATTAAAACTCTGCAAGAGTTTGACGAATTGAGGGCGGCTCCACTTGAAAATGGGGCTCTCGCCTTAGCGCGGCGTACACTCGTTTAAAACATGTGCAAGAGCTTCACTGATTGAGGGCGGGCCGTTTTAAAAATGTGGCTCTCGCCTCAGCGCGGCGCACACTTTTTGTAAAAATGTGCACGAGCTTCACGGATTAAGACGGGCTCCTTTTTTTAATGTGGCTCTTGCCTCAGCGCCGCGCACATTCGTTTTAAATATTTGTAAGAGTTCCACGGATTCCCATGATCAACGTACCAGAAATAGCGTGTATGGAACAATTCAGAAGTATGAGGGCGTCACAATTACGTTGACTCGCGGTGTTGAAGTCCCAGGAATGGCGTTCTGGCACGATTCTGGATCGTTAACACGCAACAGTCAGCTTGATCCGTGGCGTTGGAGTCCCGAGAATTATGTTTCGGCATGCTTCAGGGTCTTCAAGCGGTGTCTTCCAACGAGGCAGTTCGAAATGAATCGCTGTAGGGGCCTATGAAGAGGGAGTTTGGAGGGAGGGTTTCTTCCAACATCGTTGATACGAATCTTGGGTTTACACTGTTCCTCCTCCTCTTCCTTCTCCTCCTCCTCCTCCTTCTCCCCTGCCTCTGCCTCCTTCTCCTGTGCCTCCTCCCCCGGCGACGACGACGACGACGACGACGACGACGACACCTGCCTCGCCGCTGCCCAGGCGCGCTCGCGCGCGGCCGGTCGGGGGGCTGGCTGGCGGCGTCCTCCTTGATCCGGCGCAGGGCGCCTCTGGGCGCGCCGCGGCCGTCGGCTGGCCCGGCAGCACCAGCAGCCGGCCGGCAGCCCTCGAAGGCCCGAAGGCTCGAAGATCTCGAGGCTCGAAGATCTCGAGGCTCGAAGATCCCGAGGCGCGAAGATCTCGAGGCGCGAAGAGCTCGAGGCGCGAGGGCCTCGAGGCCTCGAGGGCCTCGAGGCCCGAGGCAGGTGGGAGCGAGAGCGCCGCTGCCGCGCTCTGCGCGTGCGCCCGGAGCGCGAGCCCGAGGTGGTCGGCGGCGGGGAGCCGCACGCGGCCCCTCGGGGTCGAGAGGGGCGGGAGGAGGAGGAGGAGCCGAGGGGGCAGGAGGAGCAGGACCGGGGGAGGAGGAGTCGAGGGGGGCGGGAGGAGGAGTCGAGGGGGGCAGGAGGCGGAGTCGAGGGGGCAGGAGGAGGAGGAGTCGAGGGGGCAGGAGGAGGAGGAGGAGTCGAGAGGGGCCACCCCTCGGGGTCGAGAGGGGCAGGAGGAGCAGCACGGGGACGTCAACTGACTGCGGGGGACGATGCATATGGAGGGGGAGGAGGAGCGTGCACCTCCCCAGAGTTCGCCAGCGTGTTGGAAAAATCACGGCGGACGGTGTTCGCCAGTCTCGGCCCCGGCCGGGCCCCTCGCTGGGCCTCGGGGCCGTCAAAAAACGACTTTAGGATGAAGCCGGAGTGTCGGTTGAACCGATCCCCCTACCCATCGGCGTGGCCTGGGCCCCACTGGCCGATTTACCAACCCCTACAGTCGAGGCGTTGACCTAAGGAACCCTAAATAAGTAACGAGGCCCCTTTAACCCATAAATCCCACCAGCCCTCTGGGCGTCGGTGGTTTAGGGCGTTTCCTCTTCCACCCCTCCCTCTTCCCATTCGGGGAGGGGTTTACCCCTCCCCCTACCCCCTCCCCGCTGACCTGGACAGGAGGGGCGGGGAGCGGTCAGAGCGTCCAAAACGGCCTCGGCGAGGAAGCCAAAATCATTGATTTTACTATGGTTTCGGCCCCATTTGGGCCTTCTGAGGGGGCAAAGCTAATTAAAGCTCCCCTCTTCTTTGATCGATTTCCTCCACGATGGCCGCAAGAGGCCCCCAGGATGCCCCAAGAGGCCGCGGGGTGGCCCCAAGATGGCCCCAAGAGGCCCCCCAAGAGGCCCCCAGGAGGCCCCCAAGAGACCCCCAAGAGGCCCCAAGAGACCCCCCAGAGGCACCCAAGGTGCTCCCAGAAGCCCTTTTTGGCCTCCTGAGGGGGCAAAGATGGCCCCAAGAAGCGCCCATGAGGCCCCCAAAGGCCCCAAGATGGCCCCAAGAGGCCCCAAGAGGCCCCCAGGAGGCCCCAAAGAGGATCCCGAACGGCCCACAGAGGCCCCCCCGAGGCACCCAAGACGCCGAAAAGCCCCTCAGGACGACCCTCTACTCGCCTGGGCGTCGTTTCTGGACGGGCTGGTGGGGATACGCGAAGCGTCTAGAATTCAACCTCGATTTCCCATGGAAAACCTCCGGAAAACCCGAGGCAAACTTTGAAACAATCAAGTCCCTCCCCAACGAAAAGGGTTCCTTCTTCAGCGCCCCGACTGCAGATGGGGATATGGGTCGTTCCCGTCGGCTTCCGAAGGGGTGCATCCCTGGCCGGGAGGGCAATCTGGTGGGGGTCTTGAAGGGGGTGGGGATGGGGATGAGGGTCGGTGAAGCGGTACTGGCAGGAGGAGCAGGACTGGGACGTCAATCAACAGTTGGGCGGGGCGATGCATGGAGGGGGAGGAGAGAAGCGTGCACCTCTCGTGCCCCCCTTCCTTTTGCAGGAGGGCTCCACACAACACACCAGCACCAGCCCTGGCCAGGCCCATCCTGGGCCCTGGGCTGGTGCACAGGCCCTCCTGGCCTGCGTAACGCCTGGAGGTCTGTACACCAGTCCAGGGCCCAGGATGGGCCTGGCCCGGGCTGGTGGTGTGTGGTCGGCGCCCCGCCGATTTTCGGCCCCAGGGGGGCCCCTTCGAGGCCCCTTTAGGGCACGAAGGTAAGCCTTTCTTCACCTCCCCATGCATCGCCCGAAGGATTGCAAAAAAAAAAAAAAATGATTGCAACAAAAAAAAGGATTGCAAAAAAAAGGATTGCAAAAACAAAAACCTTTAGGGCACGAAGGTAAGCCTTTCTTCACCTCCCCATGCATCGCCCCCGCTTCTTCCGCGACGCCCGAAGGACTTCGGGGACTCAGTCTGACCCGGGTCGGTGCAAACCCCGGGTCGGTCAGGCCCTGCAGGATCCTGCAAAATCCTGCAGGATCCTGCAGGCCCCGAGATCCGACGTTGCGAAAAATTGAACAGCGCCAGAAAACACAACCAGAACCCTGGACCCTATCTTTCTGCATGATTTCTCACGCCGGATCGATCTGTGAGGGTCCCGGGTCCCGAAACCCGGCGAAAACGCCAGCTAAAAGAAATTGCAACGCCAGGACCTGAGGAGGATCCTGCACGCCGACCCGGGTCAGTGCAACCCTGGCCCTGCAGTGTCCTGCAAGATCCGGCGCTCTGGCTGACCCCCGTTTGCGTTGACCCCCATCTCTTGAGCCCCGATGAACCCCCCTGGGACGAGGAGAGGGAGGAGAAGGAGGAGGAGGAGAAGGAGGAAGGGAGGAGGAGGAGAATATGGGAAGGGAAGGCGAAAGACAAGGACTCCTCCTGGTCTGGGCCTCCAACCTCCTCCTACCCCTCGTCCAATCGAACCTCGATCCTCCTTCTCCTCCTCCTTCTCCTCATCCTGCTCCTCCTTCTCCTCCTCCTCCTCATCCTCCTCCTCCTCCTCCTTCTCCTCCTCCTCCTCCTCATGTTCTTCTGTATGTTATTTGTCATCCGCTTATGAGTATTAGTATTAGTACTCGTTGTCTTAAAATTGAATGTTATTCGCCAGAAGATGGTTAGCCTTATTCGTAGTATGATTCGTTATGTTATGTGTGATTGGTATTACTTCTCTTTTTCGTAATACTAATGGTATTATTGATAGCAATAACATTAGCATGTCACTATTCTGGTGACTCTTAGTCATATCCGCCTGACTAATAGTATTATTAGTAATGAGTTTACTATTGTTCTTAAAAAGGTGAATTGTACTCGTCTTGGTGTTCTTCTTCGTCTGATTATGATTCGTAATGTTTGTAGCATTGGCATTCGTACTCGTATTCGTCGTCTTACTCTGCTTCTTAATAATAATATTTCTTCTTAGTAGTACTGGTATTATTCTTCTTCTTCCTAGTAATAGCGTTCGTCTTCTCATTTGCATTAATATTCTTCGTAGAATTAGCGCTAGTCGTTGCGCTTGTATTCTTATGCGTCGAATGTCTGTTGTTCGTCGTGCTACTCATTGGGAGTACTGCTATTTGTAATCGATATCTGAATTTGCATAATGAATATTAACTGTCGTAGTAGCAGTAGCTATTCTGAGTAGTATTGGCAGTAGTAGTAGTAGTAGTAGTAGTAGTAGTAGTAGTAGTAGTAGTAGTAGTAGTAGTAGTAGTAGTAGTAGTAGTAGTAGTAGTGGTAGTAGTAGTAGTAGTAGTAGTAGTAGTAGTAGTAGTCGTAGTCGTGTAGTAGTAGTAGTAGTAGTAGTAGTAGTAGTAGTAGTAGTAGTAGTAGTAGTAGTAGTTAGTAGTAGTAGTAGTAGTAGTAGTAGTAGTAGTAGTAGTAGTAGTAGTAGTAGTAGTAGTAGTAGTAGTAGTAGTAGTAGTAGTAGTAGTAGTTAGTAGTAGTAGTAGTAGTAGTAGTAGTAGTAGTAGTAGTAGTAGTAGTAGTAGTAGTAGTAGTAGTAGTAGTAGTAGTAGTAGTAGTAGTAGTAGTAGTAGTAGTAGTAGTAGTAGTAGTAGTAGTAGTAGTAGTAGTAGTAGTAGTAGTAGTAGTAGTAGTAGTAGTAGTAGTAGTAGTAGTAGTAGTAGTAGTAGTAGTAGTAGTAGTAGTAGTAGTAGTAGTAGTAGTAGTAGTAGTAGTAGTAGTAGTAGTAGTAGTAGTAGTAGTAGTAGTAGTAGTAGTAGTAGTAGTAGTAGTAGTAGTAGTAGTAGTAGTAGTAGTAGTAGTAGTAGTAGTAGTAGTAGTAGTAGTAGTAGTAGTAGTAGTAGTAGTAGCAGCAGCAATAGTAGTAGTAGTAGTAGTAGTAGCAGCAGTAGCAGTAGTAGTAGTAGTAGTAGTAGTTACAGCAGCACTAGTAGTAGCAGTAGGAGTCGTAGCCGTAGTCGTAGTAATAGTAGTAGTAGTCGTCGTCGTAGAAGTAGTAGTAGAATGAATGGTAACAGTAGTGATATTAACAGTTTTCCTCAACCTCCTCTCCTCCTGCTCCTACTCCTCCTGCTCCTCCTCCTCCTCCTGCTCCCCCTCCTGTTGTTGCTCCTCCTCCTCCTCCTCCTCCTCCTCCTCCTCCTTCTCCTCCCCCTCCCCCTCCACCTCCTCCTCCTCCTTCTCATCTTCCCCATCGTTATCATCCTTCCGGTCGGGGCTGCGGCTGGAGCGGAGCCTGGGTTGATGTCGCCGCAGCTCCTCAGGTTGGCGCGCCCGTCGTCACCATCATCTGGGCCGCCGTTCTCCCTGGGGGCGCGGCGTCGCTGCCCACTCACCGTCCACCTCCTCCTGCTCCTCCTCCTCCTCCTTCTCCTACTCCTCCTCTTCCTGCTCTTGCTCTTCCTCCTGCTTCTCCTCCTCCTCCTCCTCCTCCTCCTCCTCATCCTCCCCCTCCTCCTCCCCATCATCAGCATCATCCTCCTCCTCCTCTTCCTCCTCCTTCTCCTCCTCCTCATCCTCCTCGATTCCTTTCCCTGAGAAATGACTTCTCCCCGTCACACCCCGAGGCCAGATTTTAGGGCGGGCCGGGCATTTCGCCTGCGACTTCCTCACTAGCTATGACTCTAAAGCTCGAAAATTGGCAACAGTTTCACAGATGGAGGGTGTGTCGTTTTCAACATGTGGCTCTCGCCTTAGCGCGGCGCACATTCGCTTTAAACATTTGCAAGAGTTTCACGGATTGAGGGCGGGTCGTTTTCAAAATGTGGCTCCCGACTTAGTGCGGCACACATTCGTTTTAACAAGCTGCAAGAGTGTCACTGATTGAGGGCGGGTCGTTTTCAAATGTGGCTCTCGCCTAACGCGGTGCACATTCGTGTTACAATGTGCACGAATTTCACAGATTGAGAGAGGTGCCTTTTCAAAATGTGGCTCTCGCTTCAGCGCGGCGCACATTCGTAATAAACCTCTGCAAGAGTTTAATGGGTTCCCATCATCAACATGCCAGAAAAGGTGTTTTGAAAGGATTCAGGATTATGCGGGTGCAACAGTTATGTTGACTCGCTGTGTCGAAAACCCAGGAATGGCGTTTCGGCACGATTCAGGATTGTCAAAACGCAACAGTCAGGTTGATCCGTGGCATCGGAATCCCGAGAACCATGTTTTGGCATGCTTCAGGGTCTTCAAACGGTTGGTTGTCTTCCACAGAGGCAGTTCCGTCAATGGAAATGAAAAGTTGTAGGGGCCTATGAAGAGGGAGCTTGGAGGGAGGGTGTATTCCAACATCCTTGATGACCTTTGGGTTACACTGGTCCTCCTCCTCCTCCTCCTCCTCCTCCTCCTCCTCCTCCTCCGCCTCCTCCTCGGGCAGCAGGGTGCGCTGCTGCCGACGGGCGCCGTGGCCGAGCCGCGCCGACGCCGCCCAGCAGCCCGCCGTCGGCGCCGAGGAGCTTCCGTCAGCCGCGCGGGCTCACTTCGGTCGGGTGCTGCCGAGGGTCCCCCTGGCCTGAGTTTTTCCCAGGATGCCAGGCGGGCGAAGAACGGTATAAAACAAACTGTTCCAGCCGCCCCGGGGGCAGGCGTCCCCGACGGCGGGAAAGTTCGTGCGATACCGTTCTTCGCGCGCTGGAGGGTGCCATAGGAGCCCCCCGTACACCCTGAGAGATCTGGGCGCTGCAATTTTCTCACACGCCGGGCGTTTGGCCTAGTTTCGGGCCACATCGCGGATCGGTCCTGCTCGAGAAATGCCTGAGAAGCACTGGATCCAGGGCGCGCTGGTCGTGATTCTTCGCGGTGCTGCACGTTTTCGGCCAACGGCGGGCTCTCTCAGTACTCCATCCGGGGCACACGAAATTTGCACAGGCACAAACTTTTGGAGGTCCGCGCGGGCTTCTCGGATCGGCACTGGAACCCTCGCCCTGGCGCGCGGAGCGCGCGCTGGAGGCGGCGCCAGAGGCGGCGCCGGAGGGCCATGGCGCCGATCCGAGAGATCCGCGCGAACTTCCACCAAAGGTTGATGTGTATACCATTTGTTGGTGAGGCCGGGCCTGTGCCCCTACAGGCGGATTTTGGACGAAAGATGAAAACTTGTCAAAACACAAAAATTGGTCAAGAAATACTGGGAAAACAGTCCCCTGACTATTTTTCTACTACTTTTGGATATGCTTCCTGAAGAGGGACAGGCCCGACTTGACATTTGTTGCTCCCCGATCCACAGCGGGGCGGAGAGCTGGGGAGGACGCCTCGGGCCAGAGGCAGCGGAAGCTCTTGGCAGCGGGAGCCTCCGCGCAAGCGGGCACCACCGAAGCCCGAGCCCCGCCGCGTCTGGCAGGGTGCCGCTCGCGCCTCCGCCGGAGCCAGAATGGCTCGAGCCAGGTTGGCTATACAGAGCCCCCAATGAGGGGCAACGACAGGGGGGGACTGGCACGGGGGGGGGGCTGCATCGACCTGGAATCGGCGACACGTCGCCGATGGATCGGCGCCTAGGCCTCCGATTGAGAAAATCCGCACCTTCCTGGGCAGGTCGGAGCTATCGAGCCCCTATCGGCGATCCATGGGCGATTGAGGGGCGATGCATCCCCCCCCTATGCCTATCCCCCGACCCCAAGGCCTGGGGCCCGGCAGCGGGAGACGGCCCGGCGAGGGATGCCGCATCGTTGAGCCGTCCGCCGGGGCTCAGCAGCAGTGCAGACGGCGTCCCTCGAACGCCAGGTGACGCCGCGCAAGCGCACTGGCGCCGCGCAGGCGCTGGACGGCGCGAAGGGCGACGGGCAGGACCGCCGCGGCAAAGACGGGCTGGCCTCCCCCTTCGAGCGCTCGACGCCGGACGCGCCCGCCCCGCCTCGCGGGGGCCGCGGCCCTCTCGAGCGTACCAGAGGTTTTAGGCCTGACGGTGGTCATACCCCTGCGCAAGACCTCACTCTAATGCGCAGAGGTCCGTAAACATCGAAGCGGGGTGGCTCTGGGCCGAAGCGTGCAGCGCAGCTTTCCGCCTCCTCTCCCCGTCCTGTCCCTTGCAGCATGCTGACTTGTCCGCCTTGGCCCACTCCGTCGAGCCTCGAGGCTCTCCAGGGGGATTAGGGGGAAGTCGGGACGGTCATGAGGGCGAGGAGGGGAGCTAAAGCGGGAGGCAAGGGAGGCGACGGGAGTGGAGTGGAGGGAGAAGCACAACACTCAGGAGTGAACAAGAGATTGAGGACACCAAGCGATGATGAG